TACTTGGGGCTGATTTATACACAATGTCACAGTAATCATGTAGAGGCAGTATGGTAGCTTTTATCAATTCCAAACGGAACATAGGGGGGAAGCAGTGCTTGTGTCGATACAGAAAACCAATTTTGATTAGTCTTTTTACCAATATAATAATGTGATCTTCAAAATTTAGTTTTGAATCCAGGATGACCCCAATATACTTATAGATCTTGACTTGCTCTATTTGATAATTATTTAAGGAATGCAATTGGGGAAAAATAACTTCCTGTTTTAGTCCTGGTGAGAAGCGTAGCACCTTGGTTTTGGAGGTGTTCATGACTAATTTAAAAGCAACTAGCTGATGTTGTAGTTTGTTGAAATCACCCTGGAGCTTAGCAATCACGTCATCCGGAGAGTGGCCAGCAGTAATCAGTATCATGTCATCTGCAAAAAGATTTAGCCTGGAATGAACCAGGTCAGTGCTCAAGTCATTGCCATAAAAAGAGAACAAGAGGGGGCCGAGGATGGAACCCTGTGCTATCTTAACACTGTTTGACCTCCAACCATCTGTGAATACAGTTTGGGTGCGGGAAAAGAGGTAATTTTTTAAACATTTTACTGCGTTTTCGGAAAAGCCGAGGCAACTTTGTTTACTAAGTAGGGTGTTGTGGTCGACTATCAAAGGCTTTGGACAAGTCAAAAAAAGACAGGCGCAGTACCGCTTATTATCAAGGCAACTGTAAATGTGATTCAGAGAGTCTAATGCAGCAGATGTGGTGCTGTATTTTTTTCGGAACCTAGATTGTTTTAGATGTAATAGATTGTTGGCAGACAGGAAACTGCTAATTTGGTAGTTCAATTATTTTTCAAAAAATTTCATCAACGGGGACAAAATTGAGATAGGTCGGTATAGTTAATTGGATCATCTTTAGGGCCCCCTTTGTGAAGTGGACGAACATAGGAATGTTTCCATTCTAGAGGAACTGATGCTTCTTTGATGGGCAGGTTGAAAATATGGGCTATAGGTTTGTATATTAGGTGACCAACAGTTGGTAGAGCAAAGACGGGAATACTATCTGCTCCGGTAGAGCAGGACCCTTTGAGGTAGGACAGTTGTTTCAGAACATTACTTTCGTGAATTGGCTGGAAACTAAATTCGTTTAATGTTTGGAGAGGGGTGTAGGAATTTGCATGAGCAGGGGTGACTCCCAATACATTATCAAAAAGGTTACCAGCTTCAGAAAAATGTAGGTTAAAATTGTCAACTATTTATTTGGGATCTGAAAAATATTCCCCATTTCGGTTAAGCTCAACGGGCAGATTATCTGTTTTGGATGCCTTTTCGATACATTTGATTGTTTTCCAGAAAATCCTGGAAAAGTAGGTATTTTTTGCATGCCGTATTTTTTAATGCATATATTCCTTAAAATCCTGTATTCTAGCCAGTCATTGACCACATTACTTTTCTGAGCACATGTCCAAGCCTTGTCCCTAGTTTTCATGAGCTTAGTAATCAACGGATCAAACCATGGTGGGCGGTTGCCTTTAGTTTTAAATCTAACCAATGGAGCATGTTTGTTAAGAATTTTGAGAAACGTGTACCTGAAAGTCTCCCAAGCCGTAGTCAGGTTGGGGATATCACAGACCTTGTCAATATCTGAGTGAAGCACATCATTAGTAAATGCCTGAGTGCTGAAGTGTTTCATGGAGTGCTTCTCAACCAATTTAGGGGGGGCTTTGGGTCTGGCTGATGATCTCACCCCAAAAATGAAGGAGTGATCACCAGTCAGTGCGAAATTGTGAGGGGCGTTTGTCAATAGGACGTCAAGCAGAGATGACTGTCCTGGATTTTTTATGTTGGGTCGTGGGGACATTTATTAATTGAAACCGGTTAAATTCATCTGCAAAATTTGTGGCCACAGCCGGCGGGTTTAGTCAATTACAATTTAGATCACCCACTAAAACTATTTCACCTTTAGGGAGGCCCGCAAGAAGCTCTCAGTGCAGAAGTAGCTTCAACATCCTTCCCACTAGGCGGTCTATAGCAGCACACTACCAATATCTGTTGATTATTTGCGAGCGTTATTCTGAGAGCCAGACCTTCAAATATTTGTATTTAAACGAGTGAGCTGGTGAACATGCAATAGTATTACGAACATAGATGGCAACTCCACCTCCTTTAGATCCTCGGTCAAGCCGAAAGAGGTTGTAATTTTCAATCGTAATCTGCAAGTCATTTACGGCAGGAGTGAGAAATATTTCTGTTAGGAAAAAAATGTCCGGATCAAGATTTTCCACTTATAGTTTTAGTTGACTTAATTTAATCACAAGCACTCTGATGTTGACATGTAGAACACCAACACCTTTTCTGCCAGAAAAATCTACAGAATTATACGAGTTATTTACATTTGGGCCAGGATGAAGCTCAATATCACCCAGAAATAAGAAAAGTAGAATTAATAGCTTGCACAGGTATTTTCTGTGAAAAGATGAAGAGCGGCGCACCTTGGACGAATAGCAGCAACTCGCAGATGGTGTTATTTTTTAAGAGCAGAATTAAGTTTGGAAGGAGTGCTGGTGAAGTAATGGGACAAAGATAGGGTTTAAAATGATACAATGATGAAGTGTTTATAAGCTGTTTCATTAGCAGGTGTAGTAGCAAATCAAGCAACAAGTATGGATGCAAAGTAACGAGGGTAGCCGTTTGTAAAGTTGAGTGTGGCACTAGATATGGCCGGGAGGGACAGCAGTAGGATACACAGCAGGATAATTGCCATCTTTAAAATATCCGGGGTACACACAGTTAACACACACGTGGAAAAACACCCATATACTTGTAGGCCGAGCGCGAGAAGACATCTTGTCGCACTCGTCACACATGCACGGCTTCTCACACGTGTGCTAGGGTTGAATAGCTACCCCCCCCCAGACAGGGACAGCATATTCTTGGCTGCTGTGGGCTCCGCTGTATCGCTTGCACCGCCACCTTTCACCGCCGCAGGATGGTGTTCGAGCTCTCCCTCCTTGAGCTCCGCCCATTGCTGCAATGTCGTTGCTTGGCCTCTCGTGTCTCTGCCTCGTGCTGCACATGGACAGCTCGCACTGACTGATGCGTGTTTTGGTATCCGTCCAGCTATGTATGTTCGAATTTGTTTAATGTTCGAAAGGTCCCGAAAACGAATCTTTCAGCTTTTGTAAAATTAGGGTGCAATTGCTTTGGGTGGGGGAGAGGGGGCGGGGCTGGAAAACTCCTTGTGGACCTACGGCCCCTGTGCATGGGATGGGATGTATCACGTTGATGGCAGCTGAGAGGAGATGTGTTGCGGGAAGCGTGGGTGGCAAGTGTGAGTACAATGATCGGAGGAATGAATAAAGGAATGGAGGAGCACGGTGATTGGATTGCCTGTGGGGGAGAGTGATTTGCCAGAATCAAAATACAGTATTTACCGTGGTCTGTAGGAGTCCGTTAAAATGGCACAGCGTCGTGGAAACTTGTGACTGCCTCTCTACTACATAAAATCTAATGAAAGGTGCTTTGTGCTCTTTAGATAATTGTGCGGCACGCGCTGTGTTACGAGCACTGCACATTTCTAGAAGCGGGACCAGCCTGCTTTTATGACAATCACCAATGGCACAGTAAGTGGTGTTATCAAGTGACGGCGGAGGGAGTAGATTCAGATACGCAGGTTAGGAATAAAACAGACCGAAGGAAAACCTTCCCAATATATAATGTACTGTGTAAGCTGTCCGATTCAGTAGAAATTGAATACTGTCCATAGAAATGTATATACGGGGTGCAACACGTCTGTAACATAGCCCTTTGGAGTGGGGTTGTTGGACCGTGCAGGCATCATCCTGGGTGTGAGAATCTTAATCTACAGGGACACACGATGGTCAATTGATATAAGCACAGGAAACGTGCTTATGACCGGTCAATATGGATTTTGAGTCGTATACTTCACCATTTTTTTTAGTTTTCGGTTTGGGTTTTGTTGAACACTAAAATGTTCAATAAATATTGGCCAGATATCCCAAGCAGGACCCACATATATAACGTATTCCTTTATTTAACTCTGGGTTCTCATGGCACAGGGACGGTAACTTCATAATAGCCCCGGGATACACATTATGGCGATAACCAGAAGCTCGCCATATGAAATGCATAAAAAATTTAATTAAACCAAATACTGCACCGTAAATCAAAAGCATTTTAAATAACAGCACTCTCTTGATACTAATTTAGGCTTTTATGTCCAAGGGACATTATTACTAAAGTGCATATATTTGTTAACATTTGGTCTTGTCAGCCAGTTTAAATTGACAACGAAACGCATCCAGCCGAGCAATGCTCTACATCAGTTCTTCATTGCAAGGCCCACGGGCCACTTGGTGGCATTTAGTATGATCCCTAACGTGCGGCCCCCGACAATACATAGCGGTAACACTCCCATCGTGCTGTCAAACACAATGGTTTCAAATGTGTGGCGGCCCTCAAACTGATGTCTAATCGGCAAAAGTGTCCCGCCCCCTCTGAAAATTAGTGAAGAACACTGCTCTACATTGAACTCTTGACTCGCCATATCATATATACATTGCGGGAAATAAGCAGTGGTCGTCCCGAGGACGGGACTGGCTTCCACCAAGGCAAACGTGGACTTTCAAAATGCTTCGCTCCACACGGCAGACATGTACACGTGTGGAATTCATGAGCGGGCGGCATCGGAGCACGCACTTGCTCGGCGGAACGCGCACGATGCACAGGGCCCCGTGTCCACCTCCTCCCACCCGTGGCTGCACCCCACATGGGCCACGCGTGTGAATGTTGAGAGGGCGGTGCCACCTCGTGGCTGCTGCTCGCATCCCAGTAGCCATCAGTTTATCCCATCTCCCGGAGCAACCCGCGGGGTGGTCCTCGCAGGCTCGGGGCAATGTGGAGGTGGGGGGTTGGTGGTGGGGGGGTTGGTGGTGGTGGGGGGGTCCAGTATTGGGCACGGCAGCAGCAGCAGCCAGAACAGTGACACGTGGTGTAGGAGCGCCGGGGCCCATATACTGTGGTGGTGGAGGTTGCTATATCTGCGACGCAGCTGCTGCAACGAGGATTGAATCGAGAAGTGGGAATGGGGCGGGGAAATAAAGAAATAAATGCATGTGCGTACTGCACATGATTTAGTGTAATGTAGCCTAGCGCTGTGGTGTTATTGGTGATATCATTTTTCAATAGCGCGTTGATAGTCGCGTTCATCAATGCGTCAGTCTATGAAAAGAAATGAAACAATGTAAATGGTGTTACAGTTTACGTAGGAATAGCAAGCGATGGAATTACTAACAGTCGAATGCGAATAATACAGAGGTGTATAATAATTGCCTACAATAATAATAAGACAATTCATAACAACGACACGGTACTTTATGGTATACTCTCAATCATAAACCACCACGGTATTATTATTATTATTCGTACAATCAAACATTATTGACGGTACTGTGAAGACGTGCATAGGAAGAGCGAGGAGGAGGAGGAGAAGAAGAAGAGCACTTTACGCAGCACACTCCTTGACACACAAACACGTGAGCGCCGCTCGCTGCGCACGGCCCTGGAGGGAGGGGATCCTCCGTGATGCTGCTGCTGCTGCTGCTGCCACCGCCACTGACGATGCTCCTCATGCCGGTGCTGCTGCTGCTCACGTTGGAGGCTTCGCCACAGAACCCGTCTCGCGGACACGACTGCTGCTACTGCTGCTGAGGTCAACCATCCGCGTCCCATCCCCGTCGGTCCCGTCAGTTCGTCCACACCCAGAGAGCCGCCATGGGGGAAGAGCCCATGATCAAAACGGCCCGCATGGAGGGACACATGATGGTGAGCCGTCTGCCACCCTCCCGCACCAAACCCCCTTTTTTGATGTGGCCATTGGCCGTTTTGCTCTTCGCGGCCGCGTGTGCGAACGTCGAGAGCCCCGTCGGCGAGATGCGCTTGTCTGTGTCGTCGTGTGTTGTATGTGGTGTGTTGTGTCTGTGTGTGGGACGTGAGGCACCGAAATGATCCACTGCGCGAACGCGACTGCGCGGAGAGTACTGCCCGTGTGCGTATTTACGCACGAGTTTGTCGTCGCTTTGAAAGATACTTTGGCAGTAAATATTGACGGCTGGTCGCGTGCGGTGGCGTGCCCGTGATAAGGGCACGAAGTCGTTGTTGAGAATTTGCTGATAGGGTTTCACGCTATGCCTGTATCTCCTATTGATTTGGCTGTCGCTTGAGGCTGCTATAGAGAGCGTCGGTGCAATCGTGAGTTATGGTAATCCGATACACGTCCCGGGTGCTATGGCGAAGCTCAAACGATCTCCCTACACGTTCATCCTGCCAACACCTTAACCAAGATTTCATTTGGCAATGCGACGCGTGTGGCCGTACACGGAATACAGGTTATTACTCTTATTTAGTAGTGGAAATATCTCGTCTCCCAAACAGCCGTGGCCACGGTGGCTCTGTAAACATGTATACGATATACATGTCACAGCTATGTGATGTTGATATGTTGTGTGTTTGGCGCTTGATATGGAATCAGTTATTTCTTGTTGGTGGTATGCTGCATTATTTCCCCCACGACGATGTGTTATAGCTACTGAATAAAGTACGTATACCACCCGTGTGTTAGAAAATGACACGAGATCTGAGTGTCTGTGGCACGATATGATATCGCGTCTCAAAAGCAGCATTTGTACACAGTAATTGATATACGAGACGTGCTCAATAGTGCGCGCTTCATTTAACATGCCAAATTTATATACTCCAGTCGTATAGGTAAGGGTTTCCAAGGAAGGTAGACGCTTATACATACACTGCTGCGTAAGTACTCTTAAGATATAAGTATGCAGCCTTCATCACGCCTAGACTCGTGGTTGTTGTTCAATAGGTCGATTGTGAATGCTGCAACATTTGCAAACCAACTTTGTTGATTAATCTATAATACATGTTATTTTGGGTTAGATCGCGTAAATATATAAATGTGTCGTTAAACCCGCCACCACCCGACACAGCCAATTAGTAAGGTTTGTCACGTAAACAGAACGTGCCAATTCGTTACTGGTACAGCAACAGCGGTGTGCTGTACTAGTGCTGTTGATTAAGTCAATCTCTTGTAACGTAACATCCAGCTGCACGCTTAGCCCTGTGTGTTCAAATGTCTCTGGGAGTTAAGAGGCATGAAACCACTCCAAATTGCACACCTGCCAATTGAATAGAATGATTACCCTAATTAGCCACATTAATCAAAAGGACGAATGTTTTACAATCATAAAACATTGTTTTATGTGTATGTACTACATATCATTGTTGTGCTGTTTTACATGTTATACTTTGTCTATACTGTAGATAGTGATTTCCCTATCGTTTACCTACGTAATATATTATACATTATGTTAGGACATATTTAAAATTGCACAACACATTAATACACACATTCATATAATTAATATACTGTATTTCAATAAACGATAAATGGAAACGCAAACAGTTTGTCCTCCTGTCACATTATTTGCAATTTTATCGGCCTGAAGCAATATAATACATATCTATTTGGCCTTCATGAAATTACATCAAGGGAGGGTTCAGGCCTGCTTTCTATGGCTGACCTCCTAGGAAATACCATCCTTTTGAGGGGTAATAGCTCTGATAAGAGCAAAGCAGTTAACGCCACTGTCCCTGGTAAACGCTTAATGCATGTCAATACGATCCCTGGCCTTGGCAAACCTCTCCCCAATTGACTAATCCATACCATAACTTATTCCCCTGTGGTGACCAGACAACCCTGTTAAACAAGTCTATGTCAATAAATCCACCCATCATAATACAAATAAAAACAGATTTTCCAATTCTATTTAAACTGTGCAATTATGTATATGGGAATAATTGGTTGTCTTTGCCTGAAATTGGCCTCTTCATGAAGATAATCTTATTGACAGGTATGTTTATTTCTGCCCATTATTATTGAAGTATTATATATTTTTTGTAAATAAGCTCAAGCCTTCTGTAATTCACATGACTCTCTGTGGCCACCCCCACTCAGGATTTCCTGCCCTTTCCCCACCCCTCTGAAAACAGATGTTGCTCTGCAGCATCGAGGCCGTTCTATAGCTTCTTCCTCCCCATCCTAATCTGTTTTGACCCTTTGGTCCCACTTTTCCATTCCTTTTTCATCCTTTTCCTCATTTCCCATTATTTCACTTCTCGCTTCCCTTTCCGTTCCTCCTCCACACATTCTATCCTCGACTATTCCCCTTCTCGTGGTGTACCACAGGTACAACGTTGCTTTCTTTTTTACGTTTCAAAGTGTATTTTATGTAAAGCTCATTTTTAAATGTTGGTTCCTATCCTGAAGTTATACTTAATCAACGATAATAATTATACAATCGCACGAAACATTCTTGAATAATCATTATAAAAATACTAATTGTATCGACGTATAACTAGGCTGTGTGTTCCGAGTTAGTCAACCTGCATGTTAACCTTTTTTACTGATTAAACCAAATATTTAAAAGTTACTTTCATGTGCACTCGAGTGATGTCACTGCAGTGATCTAATACACGAGCTAGCGCTGAATAATGCTTCATTTACTTTTTAAGTCTCATATTTTATTACCGATGCTTAATATGTGTGCAGGATAGCCCAGGCACACAGCCTATGCATGTCTCTGCAATACTTAATGATCAGGTTGCATTTTTCTGTTATTTATTGTAGCGTGCTGAAAGTACAACTTTACTATTCACAGGGTAGGACATTGAGCGATAAAGGAAACTAAGTGGTTAATTCATAAGAAATGCTAATTCCCTGGATCATGCAAACTGTTGACTCGTAATGGTTTGCTCATGGCTTTGTTGTAATCTGCCGATGGTTACCACAGGCATTCCAAAGTATTACTATTTCTCAAAGGTCTATGATCAACAAAACAATGTCATGGAACATTTTAGTGGTTCTGGACTCATTTAGGCCACTGTGATTACAGCATTGGGTCATTACTGCAGGAGTAGATGATTACATATAGACGACACACTTTTTTAAATAATAAAAATAAAACATAATAAAACAATTCTCACGACGTTTCGGCCACAACGCAAGCAGCCGTCCTCAGGTGAAAACCAGGTCCGTCGAGGCGACAGAGTCTATTTTATTACTTCCCTTCTACGTGACTTTACCGAAAGAACCAAGAAGATGAATCCCTGCAGTCACGAAAGCTTTAAATCGAAATTTACACTTTTTTAACTTGAATATCAGGTGTCGGAGTGTTTACCGTCGTACAATTTACACGTAACACTTGACCATAACACAGCGGCCAAGTTCTTATTCAGATATTGGCAGAGCATGCTATGGTGTCCATTCAACTTATAAATCGACTTCACTTTGTATCGGTTGTCAAATCGCCCAAATGTTCAATTTCAAGTTATGTACTGTAATTCAATTGTTACGTTTTCGTAACTGGTTACTGTTCCATTTCAGTTAACATTGCCTTTCTGCCTTTCAGTCAGCAGTATGTAGGCTTGAAATTGTTTAAAGTTATACATCTTACAATGATTAAATGCTCTTCTAAACAAGATATAATTCTATAAAGAGCACGTGGGAGTGGGGATGGTGTGGATTTTTTAAACCATGGCTTTGCTCCGAATGCATTGCATCCAAAAAATGGTGTAATTAGGAGTTTTTGGGGTCGATTATCACCCTACATTATGTTCATCCAACAGCACTAGAGGTAAATTTTAAATCGTACGACCGTCTGGGTAGTATTATTTATTCATGAAAAATGCGAGTGCTTATTGAGACAAAACTTATTCTCTTGCAAAGGGCGACCTTCACAAAGTATCTAGCACTGCAGTCGTCTAAATAAAACAGGGTTATTATTTTTTATACATAAAATTTTTAATCATTAGAAATGTATTTCTCAAGTTTAAGATGGTCATTAGTGCTAGTAATAAAGGTTAATTTCAATATGTAAAAATGCTTACAGTAAAATAAAATTTCACTTAAAACAATTCATGTGCTCAAATATTTTTGGCGCCTAAGGAAATCACAATAAAAATAGATGAGGTTAAACGAACATTTTAATAATAAAATATTTCAAAATAATTTTTAAAAACACGCTTTAATGAAATGTACCGTACGAGTAATGGCAGAACTCCATGACTCCAGGAAGTGGCCCCAAAGCTTGCCATAGCGTAAGGGAGCGTCCCCCCCGGCCAACTCTGAGCTGCCCCTCCCCGTGCTCCCTTCCTCCATCGCCCCTCCCCTCCTCCATCGCCCCTCCCCTCCTTCCACACCCCCCGCCCCTCGGCGTGGTTCCCCGAGGCTTGCCATAACGTAAGGGACCGTGTTGATTTACAGCCAACGTGAGTTGAGCGTGGACAATTAGAACCGTAAAAAGGATTAAAAAACACATAATATTTTAATTTTTTATGATAGAATATAGTATTGTCATCAGTATGACATACTTATACCAAGTTTGCAGTCGATACGACATTGGGAAGACGGTTGAAATTGAGTTACAAGATTTGAGGATACAACAGAGTGAATTAAATAAAAGCGTGTAAAATTTCGATTTAAAGCTTTCGTGACTGCAGGGATTCATCTTCTTGGTTCTTTTGGTAAAGTCACGTAGAAGGGAAATAATAAAATAATAAAAATAACCAATAAAATACAATTCTCAAATAATAAAAATAAAACATAAAAATGTTAATGATAGAATATATTCTTTGTCATCAATATGACATAAGTATACCAAGTTTGCAGGTAAAGTCACATAGAAGGGAAATAATAAAAGAATAAAAATAAAACAATAAAATACAATGTGAGAATTGTATTTTATTATGCA